AAATGACATTTTCACTTTAAAAAAAATCTAAACTGTATTCTGTATGGAATTTTTCTAACAATTACTATAATCTAAATGACAGACACATTGCATTCAAATATTTTAAAAGCTGTATACTCAGCGTTCGCCACACGCAAGAAACACCATTAATACCATATCCACAATTATGAAAATAAAATGCTCACATAAAAAATAAATGTTTATAGAACAACTGTAAAGAAAACGTATCTCTTATAATAAAGCTGAATTCTAATATAAAAAATAAATATTTGCAGAAATTAGAACACGCTGTGTAAAAATGACTAGGGTTTTGATCCGCTAACATAAAACAATCACAATACTTTTTCTGCATACAGTAAAGCTATCCTTACTCTTCCATGTTAGGATTTTAATCCATCCTTCTTACAATTTTCACCAGCCATATGAAATATGGATGTCCGCTGCTGGTAACCAGATAGCTATTATATCTTTAGGTTTTGCTGTGACAGGGAGAGGAGACAGGAGACTGAAGATATGTCAAAGAGCACAGGAGGCCCAGTGCTGATTCAGAAGCCACCCAGGCTGAGTAATTAACCCATCAGCTCCCTGTTACCCACAACACATTGCATTTGATGTTCATTTGCCTACCTAGGAGTGTGTGCCAGTTAAATATGTGTTTTTCCACACAGACCACTGAGACTTAGTTGTCCTTCTTATAACAAATAAATCAAAAAAGTATAGTTTTCTGATAAAGAGGTTACAATATATATTTTCAGTTTACATACTTAAAAGGTAAATGAAGAACAGCTTTTTCTTTTAATAAAGGTATATGAAGGTAAATTCTATCCAGCTATGTACTATAAAAAGACAAATATAAGCAAGTGACTTGGCCATAAAGGATGACTATATGGGGTTAAAAAAACCTGTAGGAGGATCCCAGGATAGCTCCAAATCAGTTTGGCAGCAAAGACCATATCCATTTTCATACTCATCATGATGGGAAGTACAATGGAGTTGTAATCCTATCAGCATAACATATGACTAACTTAGCTTGTCAGCAGTTGGGTAACACACATTTCATTTTCAGGCTTTGCTGCTGCTCGGATAATTGTTAGCCTTGGTATACTAAGGATTGAAGCTTTATGAAGTATTTCATCAGCTATTCCCAACTCACAATAGACAATGAGCTTACCTGTGTACCCCTGAAAAAATGTGTAGCAGTCAACGGTGTGTTATTTATTGCTTTTATTGATGATTTTCTTCATTTATTCATTATAGAACAGTAGGACTGTGCATAAAAGGTGTGGGTAAATAGGCAACCTTTCCTATACAGTTATTGACCAAAATCTGTTTCCATGATGAGAGCTAATACAGTAATTTCATATAAATGAACTTAGTATTTTTCACAATATAGTAAGCCAGGTTATGCCCAGTAAAACAGTGTAAAATGGATATCCTTGCTGGAGAGAAAGCTGACAACCTACAGTGAAAGGATCTCCCAGTTTTTCTGCTTTATTATGTGAGTTTGCAATTCCTTAACCTCTCCTGCTGCTTCTTGAATATTACTTTCCTTTCACCAGAACCCCAGTCATTGGAGTGACAGCTCTGACATGAGGAAGGAAAGCCCTGTTTCTCTAATAAGCTGGCCACATCCAAACAAAGCCATGGTGCAGTACAGGGCATCACAAGTCAATTTTGGGGAAAAAAACTGCAGAAAGACCTCAGGCAATGCTTGTGACTAGTCCTTTGCCATCTGCTTGACTTTTTGGGTACCACTTCAACAGTTCAGGTCCTCCCTTGTTATAAATGAAAATGGGCTATGAAGAGCCCGATTTAAGGGCTTGCAGCCATGAGTACCAGGTGAACACTGCACTTTTAAAATCATCAGAGCTGAGGAAACTGTGTGGAGGAACTACTGAAATGAAATGTTGTCACAGAATTAGGGCCACTTAGATGCCACAGCCACTATTTCTTTTCAAAATAGCAAAGCATGCATAGAAAAAAGTTCACTTACTATTTATGTATTGAGATATTTTATTGAACATGCCTACCACCCATAAGACCTAGCAAGTATGAGTTACATGACTTGACGCCCCTGTTTTGGAACTGGGAGCATTTTAAAAAAATACTTGCCAGTATAAATCCATAGTTGACCATTCATGTATTACTGTTAAAAATTCTTAACAATCATGTCACATCAATCAATTATATACTGTAAATACTAACTACATAAAAGTATGCCCATGAAAATAAAAACTCACCAGTATACTATAAATTATTATTTTTTTAATTTACTTTTCCTTGAGTTCTTTGGTAAAAAAGGCATTAACTATTTACATAAATATGTGTCTTTAAAAGCAACTTACACTATGTTTTAGCATGCAGGAGGAAACCTATGGTATATAAATATAAGAACAAGATGCAAACACCATATAAATAGCATTTGTAGTTGAAATGAAACCTGGGATCCCAACACTGCAAAGCAATAGTGTAACCACAAAAGGTACAAACATTAACAAAGCTGTAGAAAGTGGAGGTTCCTGTTGTAGAATGCAGTTTTAAGTATTACATTTTGTAAAATCTTCTGGAAAAATAAGGGGTGGGATTTAATTGGTTCAAAGATTGCACAGATTCTCTTCAGAACTCATAATCAAGCGTGTTGCATTTCCAAACTTATACTGAATGTACTGTTAGATAACATGAGCCCATAACAATAAGAAACAATTAAGCACTTTATAACTTGTAAAAAAAAAAAAATAACCTTTCACCTCCAACATTTACTGGAGCACAATGGCATTCACCTACTAATCTGTTTTGAGTAAAAATTCTCAAGAGACACAAATTGTAATAAAGCAGGCAATGCTAGGAGCCTCACTGAGAAAGGGTTTTAAGCCAATCACTTTGCAATCGACACCTTTAGTGGTTTCACACGCAGAATGTTGCCAAACCTCTCATGCCAGGTTAGTCTATTGCAACACATAACGTGAACTGCTAATCTAGGACTTAAGATGGCGCTCTTCCCTTAGATGACTACACAGAGTTTGAACAGCCCAGAAATAGCATGAGTGAAAGTTACACCTGCAGCACATTTTCGGCACCAGTTTTTGTCACCACTACAATGTTGAAATGACAGATAGGCGTCTGAGTTGGGTTAAAACTCATAAAACATGATTGATGAACTCTGTAAGTAAGCAATGGGAGTTCAGATTAAGAAGTGACTGCCTTCGTTTCACAAGGCCAGTGTTCCACAACTTTATTATTAGACCAAGCTCTCAGGACTGTGAGAGTCATTAATAAATATTTATGCCAAGGCATCCTATTCTTAGGGATTTTAAAATCTTTAATGACAGCTAGTCAAGATTGATAGCAAGTTTAAAATTAGATGCAATGTATGTAAAGGCATACTATACATAACATGCTGATATTATGTTTAAATTTGATTCTATTGTCCTTCTGTGAACAGCTGGTACAGCTGCAGCATATCATAATCTACGGAAGAGGTTTTTTACTTGTTCTAGACGGCAGACCCTATTAAGACCCTAAGGATAGTAAAGAACCCTTTCCCAGATTGCCCTGTGGATAGGAGATTACAATGCACAATTGCTGCCACTACAGCAGTAACCACAGACCTAATATCAGTCAGGAAAATACAGTATATGTAGCCAGCAGTTATTGGCCTCCTTATGAAAGTCCTAGTTCAATTGTTGCCATTCCTAAACACTCCCGAGTCAAAGGGCCCAGAACAAATAAACAATATATAAAAAGTCACAGAAATTGTAAAATTTCATATATTTGTTAGTATTCTGGAACATTAGGTTTACTGAAACATTCAGTAGAACTGGACACTAGCAAAGCAACACCTGTATAGATAGCCAAGTGCAACCCTCCCCCCCATGCTTTAGTTTTGTAGTAAGCGGTGATAGCAGCGGGTCATAAGAACAGACGGAAGGAACCTTTGTTCCATAATGTACTCCAAGGAAAAGATTTTTACAAATAAGACAAAATAATTCTACTTTCTTGGAACAAGACTAACAGACCCACAAAAACCAACAGGTTAGCACAGTTGGTTCAACAGAGCCTAAGTAGCCACCTGAAGAAATCTTATGACCAAAGCCGGTATGAGCTGATGCACGAATGTCCACCTGATAAAACACAATCAATGTGAGGAGAAAAGATCGAGTGCCACCTTGAAAATATGGGAAACGGATGTCTGAAGCTGAAAACCAAAAAGAAACAATTACAGATCTACTAATGTGCAGTCCCCAAAAGTGGTACTCACAACCACCTCCTGCCATCAGTTTGTGGTCATAGAAGGGCCAAGGGCTCTAGTGTTATCTCCTGTGAGATCGTGAGAGGCACACACCAGGCTACCTCTGGACCAGTGCCCTGATTGACCACAGCAGTGATCCAAAATGTGATCTGTTGCCCCACAGTGCACATAGGCTGGAGTGTGCCAGGCAGGGTTCAGATGAACATGCCCCCTCTGGATAGTTTTTTCCCCTTCAGTGGGTATGACCCCAAGACATGTTTAGGAACAGGGTTCCACCAGATGGATGGACCACAACCCTGGATCTGTACAGTACTCTGTGGCTAACTCAATGCATTACACCATGTGCCTAGGTGAGCACCTAAAAAGATTTTTATGCCCAAAGCGTATCATTACAGACTCACCTTCCTATTTCCTCCTGGTAGAGTCTATGTACAACCTCCTGATGCAAAGCCGTGGAGTAATCAATCTGGAAGCTGTAAAAAGGAGCCTCAGTGGCTTTGCAGCAACTGAAGAATCTTGCTTAACTAGTTGCCAACCGCAGATAGCTGAATGACGGCTGCACTGCGGCCGGCTGGTTCTGAGTGGACGTCATATGACGGCCTCCCAGAACGCGCTCTCCTGCGCTCCCCAGGGGGCGCGCACCCAGCGATCTCCGTGATCGCTGTGTCCTACGGACACAGCTGATCACGTGATGTGGTAAAAGGCCAATCACAGCGGCCTTTTACCACGTGATCAAAGGTGTCCAATGACGCGCTGATCAGATGGAAATGCAAGTGCCGCTGGCAGATCGTGAGGAAAGTACTGCCGAGAACCGACAGTTGTCAGAGCGGGGATCGGCACCGATCATCAGGGCACTGATGATCAGTGCCCTGATGATCGGTGCCCAGCAGTGCCACCCGCAAGTTCCGCCCACCTGTGCCCAGCAGTGCGCCCACTAGCTCTGCCCACCTGTGCCCAGCAGATCACCCACCTGTGCCCAGCAGTGCACCCACCTGTGCCCAGCAGTGCACCCACCTGTGCCCAGCAGTGCACCCACCTGTGCCACTCTGCAGTGTCACACACCTGTGCCCAGAAGTGCCACCCACCTGTGCCCAACAGTGCCACCCACCTGTGCCCACCACCTGTGCCCACCAGTGCCACCCACCTGTGCCCACCCACCAGTGCTGCCCACCAGTGCCACCCACCAGTGCAGCCCAGCAGTGCTGCCAGTCAGTGCCACCAGTCAGTGCCCAGCAGTTGTGCCAGTCAGTGCCGCCAGTCAGTGCCCAGCAGTGATGCCAGTCAGTGCCATCTATCAGTACCCATCATCAGTGTCACCTATCAGTGCCGCCTATCAGTGCTGCATATTTTCCGCCTATCCGTGACACCTCATTAGTGCTGTCTATCAGTGCCCTTTAGTGCTGCCTATCAGTGCCCATCAGTGCCGCCTATCAGTGCCCATCAGTGCTGCCTCATCAACGCACATCAGTGAAGGAGAAAAATTACCTGTTTGAAAAATTTTATAATAGAAACAAAGAAACTTTTTTTTTTTTTTCAAATTTTTTTGCACTTTTTTTATTTATAGCACAAAAAGTAAAGCGCCCAGTGGCGATTAAATACCACCAAAAGAAAGCTCTATTTGTGAGAAAAAAAATGATCAAAATTTCATATGGGTACAATGTTGCATGACCGCGCAATTGTCAATCAAAGTGCGGCAGCGCTGAAAGCTGAAAATTGGCCAGGTAAATAAGGGGGTATAAGTGCCTGGTAGGCAAGTGGTTAAAGAAAAAAAAGCCCTGATAAAAAGAAAAAAAGTTTTGCTTCTCTCAGAGCAGATGTCCTAAGGACACTAGCAAAATACTGAGGCATGCTGGGAACAGGAGGGGTTATACTAGGATGTCCTTTGCTTTGCCAGTCTCTAATTCTTCTGAAGGTGGCAGTATAACCTAATAATCCCCAAACTATCTATGTCTAGATAACCTGAAAGATTGTTGAAAAAAAAAAAACTATGCTCTTTAAAATGTGGTTTTCTGGTATATATGTTCCCAGCTTTATGTGACTGCCTTTTGCATTACCACAGAGATAGCCCTTCATGTCCACCCCTCACAAAGTGCACAAAGTGCAGTGTAAATAGCCATCTATGCTTTGCCTGGCCAAGATGTGCTCAACCTTTTGAAAAAAGCGAGGATCACTTAGGTGATTTGATAACTGGTCGCAGGCCACAATGAAATTACATTTTTTATTTTGAATATCATATTGAACATATTTCTCCTGCAGCTGCTGAATGCTGGTGGAAGGGAGGGGAGATGTTTTAGCAGTTGCAGGAGGAAAATGGAGATTCCTGTATAGTCTGCCACTTCTGTCCATGTGTAAAACAGAATGTGACAGGGAAGCTGGAGCATGGGGTGGGGTCACCATTGCAACCACTGATGCTACACCATTACTTGGTGCTGCGTGGTAAAAACAAGTCTCGGTGCATTTGCTCAATGCTGTTCGGGCCTGTATACTGGTTCTCTGGAAGCAGGAGGCTCCCCCCTCTATTTCTATGTGGTTATCTAGGGTGGAGGACATACACTCAACGGAAAATATTATGGCGGAGGTTCGGGGTCAGGAGGTCCAGTTCCACCAAAGATGGATCCACTGGTCTCTCTTTACCTGTTCAAGTGAATATGATTCCTTGCTGCGCTCGATGGCTTGAGTCCCTTCGTCATTCTCTCTTTGCCCCTTTGCTGTGGCTTTATTCTTTTTTCCTTTCTGTGTTGTATCCAGCCCCCTTTTTTTCACTTCTTTCTCCCTTCTTTCCCTTTTCGTTTCCTTCTTCTTTTCTTCTCGTTTTGGATGCTGTTGGTGTTTGCTTTTGGATAACAGTGGGGTCTGTTTGTATTGACTTTTGGCCCAGTGTATTATAATATAATGTTTTTGGGATGGCAATTCGAATTTTTTATGTATCTGGACTGAACCTGGTTTGTTGGCTTTTATGGCAGCATCCACCTACTTGCCTTGTTCTTGTATGTTTGTTATGTGAAAAAGCAGTTTAACCCCTTCACGCCGGCCGCGCGCAAATGTGCGGCCTCCCGGCGTCTGGGCCTAGTCACCGAGCGGCCGCACATCTGCGTTCATGTAACAAAAAACATATGTGCTGAGAGCACACGCCCTGCGCGCTCCCAGCACACATGTGAGGTACTCACAGAAAGGTCCTGGTCCTACTCTGCAGGTATTAGAGGAGTGCTCTTCCCTGGTTTTAGGTCGAGGACAACATCAGAGGGCTCCGGTGGCCACATGTGGCCCACAGGTTGAGCACCCCTGGTCTAATCGGAGAAGCCACAGTACAAAAATTCACCAGCTTCAAGTGAATTATAACATTGCAATTCTCTACACAGTAAAAGATGTGAGTGATACTCAATTTGGGGCCTAATATACTAAAAATAAAAGCACAAACAGAGATGAGGAGTAGGCCCCAAGAACACACACACCAAGTTCATGAAAAAAATAAGAAAATACAAGTGCTGGCATTATCATTACAATATATATAAATCTGCATAACAGCTTGTTCTGTTAAAAAAAAAACAGACTTACTGACTGGGTCACCAGATGAAAATAAAGGAACAAAAGCGTAAAAAAGAAAACTGATGCAACTACTACATCTATGGATTGATAATCTACAATATAGTAATTGTTTGCTTTTTGGTTTAATACCACTTTTAGGCCTCTGTCACGTGGCTGTTCCGTTTTTTTCATCAGTTCAGTCACGTTTTTTCCAAGAAAAAATGGATCAGTTCACATCAGTTTTTCATCAGTTTACATCCGTTTTTCCACCACTTTACATCTGTTTACATCCGTTTTCACCCATTTACATCAGTTTTTTGTCCGTGTACATCTGTTTTTGTCTTTTTCCATCCGTTTTTCCATCACTTTACATCTGTTTACATCCCTTTTTACCCATTTACATCAGTTTTTTGTCCGTATACATCCGTTTTTGTCTATTTTACATCCGTTTTTCATCCGTTTACATCCAGTTTTGTCCGTTTGCATCCATTTTTTATCTGTTTCGGGGTTTTTTTAATGAAAGAAAAATAGGGTTTTCTTTCGTTCAAAAAAATGGATGTTAACGGATGTGGACATTAATGGGTGTAAACAGATGATCATCCTTTTACATCCGCTAGTCCATAGAAATACATGAGTGTCTGTTTTTTAATCTGTAAACGGACAGATGAAAAACGGGCATACGGAACACCATGTAAAAGGGGCCTAAAACATTACAGAAATCCTATTTGATTCTTGGTGCTACTACTACTACTACTACTAATAATAATAATAATACTTCTACTATTTCTACCACCAGCTGGTGTATTTTCAGATGCTGAAGCTCAGCAAACCACATTTATTAATGATCTCACTATACAATATGTATGCAATCATAATTTTGCACACCTTTGCAAGCATAATAAATGTTGTGAGGGTTCTCCTTTGCTGGTAAACAGGTACATTCAGTGCTGGGACAAGGTCATCCAGCGCCCAGGGTAAAGATGCCAAACTGCGCCCCCCCCAATCATGATGTGCAAGCTTAGGGAATCCTTTGCCTAATAGTCACTTGCTTGTCAAAATCACTGCTGCTGTCACAGAAGGAAAGCACCCCCATCCCATCCATGCAATAAACCACTGCGCCATGGGCAGCCGCCCCTTCTGCCCACCCCTTGTCCTGACCCTGGGTACATTAATGCAGCAACATAGGTACATTATTATTACATTCATTATTAAATTAGGCTTTGATGGTTAGTAAAAGCTGGAAATATTCTTTATGGCAGAGAACCCCTTTACGTTACTAGCCAAATACAGTTATGCCTCAAGCGTCATTTTCATCAACACAAATCTTCATACTTAAAAGAATCAGAATCAGTTATAAGCTTTTTAATTCGAGGTTATTAGTAGGAGTCATGGTAATGTTTTGAATACATTGGAAGAGATTTAATAAAACTGAAGCACTCAGAATCTGGTGCAGCTGTGCGTGGTAGCCAATCAGCTTCTAACTTCAGCTTGTTCAATTAAGCTTTGACAATAAAACCTGGAAGCTGATTGGTTAATATGTACAGCTGCACCAGATTCTGTGTGCACCAGTTTTAATAAATCTCCCCCATTGCATCAATTGATATCAATAAAGCCAGTACATTTTCTCTGTGTTCCAAGCTAGTTTTAAAATATCAGGAAACACAAACCTTATATAAAATAATGATTAAAAACAAAATGTACAGAAAAAATGATCAATATTACCTAAATTTTGCTTGATCTGGTATAAATAGCAAAACGTTTCCGTAGTGAAGTATTTGATGTTGAACCCACAAAACAATCCCATGGACAACAATACTTAAGTAATTAGTGAAAAGAAAACTTTAGAAATGCATCTATAAAATCTACCATACGTTCATTAACAAAAAAGTTTGAGAAAGACTTCAACATCTCTTCCCACAACAGGGTGATACCGAAGACAACTTCAAAAGGACATTTCCTTTTGTTTACCTGCTTTCATTTGAAAGGAGGATGTCATTGGGGTGGGAAGAGAGTGAAATGCAATGACACAATACACAGTAGCCACTGCAGAGGCACATCTGATAAACCTCAGGCATGAAAGAATGGTTCCTACTACCAAGTTATGAATTGATACATTGTTTCATGAGACTCTAAGAAAAACACCTAGAGCCACCCATACTCTGCCATCAGAATTTTCAAGCATAGTCAACAAAGCAGAAGAAACTTTCAGGAACTTTTACATTTTTGCAGTGCTTTACATTACGTGTTAAGATACACTAAACTTATTAATCTGCCAACACACCAAAAAGGTCCCTAAAATTAGACATGTCATAGAATTTGTAATGCACTGCAAAGCACTATGAAGTGTTGCCATGCATTGCGATGTACCGCAACACATTTGCGCTGGCTTAGCGTATTGGGGTGCTGTTCACAAAGAATGGCACCTCAACGCACCAATGCATGTAATGTGTGTTAACAAATGTGCTGCACTAACAAAGTGAAATGTGCAAATACAGTGCGATACAATTTCTCAATATAGAACAATGATGTTGCTTATTATCACATTTTATATATTATATATTAAGAAATTGTATTGCACTGTATTTGCACATTTAAATTTCTTAGTACAGCATGACATTTCTTAATTTTCTTGTTCATATGGTATATCCTAAACTTTATATATGCTGCTGCTTAGTTTTGTTTTTGTGACCTCCTGTGTGGTGATATTGTTTTGTTTTTAACCGCTTTCCAACTTCCCTATAGCAGGTATACTGCTTCAGGGCGGCACGGGTGTGCAAAATCATGTATATATACGTGATTTTGCATTTCCGGGTAGGGGGCGCAGGCACGCCCTACCCGCGCCACCATTCATGGCCACAGCTGTCAATCACCGGGTCCCAGCCGGTGATTACTCGCCGGCGCCCGGTGATTGACCA